AAAGACAAAATCAGATTCTGCTCACCAAGCTCATAAATACAAACACAAATGTAGAATATACCTGAGAGTTCAAAGATTTAAATTTTAAAGTGCTTTCATGTTATATTAACTGAGAGGGACGACATGTGCTCATCAGGAGGGCTCCCTTGTCAGAACAGTTCAGCATGTCTTACTATTTCCAGGTGGGTAAAACACCTCAATAAATAATTTCTGCCCCCATTAAGAAGAATATCACCATTTACATTTTTCAGTAACAAATCATGTCTATAAATGAACATGCTTGACATGTGCCCATGGAAAATATCCCATCTTACAGAAGTTACAACTGTGATTCAGACAGGTGAATGCTGAATTCCAGGTACTTCTAAACACACTGTTCATTAGTGTTTAACCCCAAATTGCTATACCTTCAAGGTGGTACCTGGTCCCCCACCCAACAACAGGAGACCAGAAAATGTATTTCTAGGCTCTGGTTGTTTTTTTGAAAGCACAAGGTATACAAATCTGGATTATTCTAAAGGACTCTTTCTTCTGAAAGGCACAGTTTTTAAGGGCAATTGATGCTGATCATCACAGGTAAGGGGTCAGGCATCAATTCAGATGGTCTACCTTTTATTTATTTATTTATTTATTTATTTATTTATTTGCTTTTTGAGACAGGGTCTCCCTGTAGCCTCAGTTGGCTTGGAACTTGCTGTGTAGACCAGGCTGGCCAGGAGATCTGCCCCCCTCTGCCTCCCAAGTGCTGGGATTAAAGACATGCACCACTACACCTGGTTTGTCCATCTTGCTATACCTTCTGACTACGATGTCTAGGGCACAGCGTACTGAATCCTGATCACTTGATCCTAGAAAAGACTGTTGAAAACAAGAGCATTCATTTCACAGTGAAAGTACCTTAGATTCACTGCTATAGGTATGTGTTACTCTTAGTCATACATCAGTAAGGACAGGAAAAAAAATACCTTTTGGAGTTCTTCAATTTCAACTTCATAAGTGGCTAAAATGAACAAAAAAACTCAAATCAGTTTATCTATCCATTTCTCACGTTAATCTCAGGATTAACATAGTTATGCAAGATTTCAGAGTCCAATTTTCTTATCCTTTGGAGCATTGATCTATGGCAGGCTCTGTGTGAGTGGGAAAAGTCTAGGGTCATTGGTCAAGGCTCGAGTTCTGTGGGGATTTCCAGGGTAGAATTTACAGTCAATGAATAAGACACCATTTTAAAGTTTCCTGGCTTAGTAAATAGATACCTACATGTTTAAAAGAATGCACTCAAAATTAGCAATAGTGCTTAGAAAGCAAACTTGAAAGGAAGGCCTAACAGAGGCCTGAATCCATCTCAACAAGATAAACACCAGATTCAGACCAAGTGTTCTGTTTCCTAAACACAGCTTGAAAGAAGAGCCCACAAGGACATAAATATCTTCTGATTTTCCTGTGGCTGTTATTTAACAACACATAGCTTCCTTAATTATTAACCAGTACAAGTAGTGGCAAGAACTTGGGTTCAGATTCAAGTCCTGCTTCTTTAATCTTGGGGGAGGGTGTCAGATGAATTACTTCATTTCTTTGAACCTCAGCCTGTTCACATGTGAAACTGGCCCATTGGTACCTGCAAACAGAGATTAGAAGTGTATACAAAACACTGGACATTGCATAAAGTGACATAGTTTCCATAAAAATGCTTATTAGATATTTTTGTTATCTAAAAGTTTTCTATTGTTAATGAAAATGTGTAGCAATCAGAACTCATGTGAAATCCTCTGCTTTAGAAGCTTCCTAAAACATACACACACACACACACACACACACACACACACACACACACACACATATATATATATATATAGAAAGCGCTTGCTCTTGCAGAGGACCCAGGTTTGGTTCCCAGCACCCACATGTTCAGTTCTGGGGGATCAGACACCCTTTCTGACTTCTGTGGGCATTGCACAACACAAGTGCACTTATACACTGGCAGGCGAACCACTCACAAAAATAAAAAATTAAAAAAGAATTTAAATGGAATTAACCTATAACAGGGAGTCGGGGGAAGACAATACCCCTCCTAGATACCAGAGGCTAGCAAATAAAAATCCCAGTGCCGGGCATGGGCTACTTCTTTTGGAACTGTTGATCAGCGGGGTCTCAGAGACCCATAGACATTACAGGCCATTGCCACTGCTCTTGGTTACCCTCCAGAACTTGATGAAAGAATTTAAATGGAATTAACCTATAACAGGGAGTCGGGGGAAGACAATACCCCTCCTAGATACCAGAGGCTAGCAAATAAAAATCCCAGTGCCGGGCATGGGCTACTTCTTTTGGAACTGTTGATCAGCGGGGTCTCAGAGACCCATAGACATTACAGGCCATTGCCACTGCTCTTGGTTACCCTCCAGAACTTGATGATAAGACCCTTTTGTTGCAGATATCACATAACTGAACATGGAACGGCGATCTGATACTGGTACAAGCCATGGTGCTTTGTCCCTAATGGCTAGCTTTCATAGTGCTGGAAGGTGCTGTGTACACGACTAGAGGAGAAAAATAATCATCAGTCTTACTCAACTGTGAACCCTGTGAGCTACAACAACTGGCCTGGAAGCATATGCCCACTGCTGCAGTTAGTGGCATAAATGTTATGGGAGTCGCTAACCACCTTCTGACTGGATTTAGGGTCTGCTTCACAAGACTGAATGCATATTTGCACTATTATCGGGGCCAAGAACCTGTGGCCAGATATGTCGTAGATCTACGGAGAACCCATTACTATTATTCTACTAAATGGACATAGAATTAAACTGACTCCTATTGACTCATTCCATAGAAGAGTGCATCTCTCAACCCTTTTCAGAGAAGCTACTTGCAGTAGATCATGATTAACACAGAGACCCAGAGAGGTCAATGTGTAGAGAATGAGACTGTGACGGGGGCTAGAGAAATGGTTCAGTGGTTAAGACTGCATACTGCTCTTCCAGAGGACTCAAGTTCAGCGCCCCGCCCTGCCCCGCCACAGCACCTATGTTGGGCAGCTCATAACTGCCTATAACTCCATCTCCAAAGGCTCTGAAGCCTCCGTGGGCACCTGCACTCATGCAGACACACACAAGTACCGTAATTTTAAAAGCGACAAAACACATCTTTCTTTGGAAAGAGACTGCAGAGCACTCAACCTTAGATGGAACATCTAGACCATGTTCCCTCTTCCAAAGGTTCAGGGACCATCTCAGAAGAAGAGGCAGAAAGGTTGTGAGAGTCAGAGGCAGTGGATGACCACAAGGAAGATTTTTAGGACACAACAGGGCAGTGGCACATATGAATTCACATTGGTGGTGACAGAATGCACAAGACCTACTCAAGGTCAAGCCAGACAAAATCCATCATGTGTGGGGGAGGTGGTCACAAAGTCCCACCTGTAGCTGAGAGTCTATTAGCAACTGATGGCTGCTGGGAGAGGGAGAGTCAGTTTTCTTCAAAGATGTGGCCCCGGAGAGGCTACCCATGCTCCAGGAGGTGATCCTCACCCATATACATACTACTTGTGCTAAGTGTTTTTAACTCAGTGGGTTAAAAAAAAAAAAAAAAAACATGAAGTTGGGAGGGGATAGTGGGAGAGTAATGGGAGAAGAATCGGAATGGAGGGAATGAGGGGTAGACTTGATAAACATATTGTATGCACTACAAATTCTTAAACAATAAGCAAAGAATAATAAAAAAGGAAAGAAATCTGCACAGGTCTGTTTCTGGGTTTTTAATTCCGTTCCTCTGTTCTCTGAATCTTTCTACCGAAGCCAGAGTCTTGAAATTACTGTAATTATCAGTCTTGGAATTGGGTGACTGGTCCTTTCTACTCTTTCTTTCTCAAAATTGTCTGTAGCTATTTTAAGTTCCTCTGCATTTCCACATGCATTTTAGCATTTTAGAATGATCTTGTCTATAGCTACAAAATATCTTATTGGGATTTTTATAGGAACTGCCTTAAACCTGTATACTACTTGTGGAGAACTGTAACTTATTTTTTATGGTCAATTTTATTCTGTTGGGTCTTCTAATCTATAAAATCAGTACGTCTCTTCACTCATTAAGATTTGCTTTACTTAATCCAAATTTTATATTTTTAGCATTTAAGTCACATGCATGCTGTGATTTGAAGAGAGAATTTAAATGGTGTTTTTTAGTTTTAGCATTCATGTGCTCATTACTAGTAAATAAAAATGCAATTGTGTTTTGCAACCTTGCTGAACCTATTTATTAGTTCTAAGCAGTTTTTTTTTTCAATCCTTAGGAATTTCTACCTAGACAATCACAACATCTGCAAATAAAGGCAGTTCTTTTTCTCCTTTTTGATCTTTATGTGCCTTTATTTCTTTGTTTTCATTTTTACTGGCTAGTAGCAGTACAGAGGGTAGGAATGGTAAGAGAGGGCATTTCTGCCTTGTTTCCAGTGTGTGTGTGTTGGGGGATGCTCAGGTATTTATATTAAGTATCACATTCTGCAGGCCTTCTAAAAATATCAAAGTGAGGGAGCTCCTCTCTCCTTATTTTTCTAACACTCTTAATATTATGAATATAATGTCTTTTTCTCAATATCTTTCCTAAATATATTGTTCAAATTTTCTTCCTGTCAACATAGTGGTTTCATTAATTGATTTGTGAATACTGAACCTTTGCATCTCTGAAACGAACTGCATTCAACCGCGGTGTGGAGTTCCTTTTATTTCTTGCTGATTTTATCATTAATGTTTTGTCAAGGGTTTCATGACTATGGTCATGAAGGAGATTGATCTGAATGGGTTTATTGTACTGTTTTTGTCTGTTTTTAGTATCACACTTATGCCAATTTCATGAATTGAATCAAAAACTGTTTCCTTCTCTCGCATTTTTTGGAGCGTGCCATATAGAGTAGGTGTTAACTCTTTAAATGTTTAGAAGCATTTTTACTCAAATCATCTGGATGCAGATTTTTTTTTTGAGAAAACTTTTTTGAATGTATGTTTGTGATACGTTTGTACATGTGTCCTCATATGTTTAGGCACACGTGTGTAGAGGTTCGTGTGCACATGTGTGTATATGCACCTGGAGGCCAGAGGTGCTCTTCACTTTACTTTCGGAGGCACGTTCTCTCACTGAACCAGAGCTCACTGATTCCCCAGGGATCCCCAGTGTCTGCCTCTCATACACTGGGTTTGCTGCACTTGCCCAACTTTCCTGTGTGTTCTGGGATTCAAACTCAGGTCCTCGCACTTGTGTGGCACGTGGTGCCTCTACCCACTGACTTAGTTCAGTTTTTCCTAAGAGTTACAAGCGTCACTCAAATTATTTTGGGTGGTTTGTGGTAGTCTGTGCTTCTAGATAAATTGTTAAAATTTGGTCTAAGTTGTTAAATTCAAGTGTGCAGCTCTTTGTAATATTTCCTTGTCCATTCCTTCAGTGTGTGTGATGCCGCCCTGGCACTGGCCTCGAGATGGTTAATTTTCTTTGTGTCCTTGTCAGACTCCCTAGAGGTTTGCCAATTTCATTGATCTTTTCAACAAACAAGCTTTTGATTTCGGTGATTCCATTGTTTTTGTGTTTTAAATCTCATTTATTACAGTTCTTTGGTATTTCTTTCATGCTCTGCGTCTATTTTGCTCCTTTTCTATGTTCTTGAGATAGGATCCTGAGAGAGATCAGCTCTTGGGTTAGTAATTGGGGACTTTTCTTCTTTTTAAAGAAATCTGATAGGTAAAAGTGTATATATTTATGATGTACAGCATGTTTTGACATATGTATATTCTGTGGAATGACTTAGTCACTTTTTTTTTACATATCACCTCACATTCTTTTGTGGTGAGAACGTGTGAAATTTCCTCACGTACCAATTTTAAAGTACACAATGTGCTGTTATGAACCACAGTCACTATGATGTACGACCGATCTCTTGAACTGTCCCCATCTAAGTGAGATCTTGTTTTGTTTGGCCAAACATCTCTCCCAGATCCTTGTCCTGATCACTGGTGATTAGCATTTCATTCTCTGCATCTATGACAGCAACTTTACATTTTACCGCTCAGCAAGAATAGAGGCACTACTCATCTTTCTGCCCTTGGCTGATTTCACCTAATGTCCTCCAGGCTCACTCATAAATGGTAGACCTTCCTCTGTTGAGGCTAAAAAGTCTTTTGTCCTAAATGCATGCACACTGACTGTATTCACATGTCCATGGAGGCTGAGGCCAATCAGATCTTGGTTGCTGTGACTGCAGCTGTGATCACGGGAGTGCAGACATGTCTCCCACACGCTACCCTGATTTCCCTTCCTCGTATAGCTCCTCAGGGGTGGGACGACTGGATTATATGGTAGCTCTGTTTTTAGTTTTGAAAGGAATTTTCATATTGTTTTCCATAGTAACTGACTGATACATTTTAACTCCCCACAGTGTGAACTTCTGTTGTCACAATATACACCTTTCTATATTGTATTCCCTCATGAAATTATTATATGCACTGTTACTTTTAATACTTATTTTGGGGGCTAGAGAGACGATGGCTCAGGGGTTAAGAATGCATATGTACGGGTCTTGCAGAGGACCTGAGTTTGGTTCCCAGCACTCATATAGGGCAGCTCACAATTGCCTATCACTTCAGCTCCAGGGGATCTGACATTGTTTTCTGCCTTTTGAGGGTACCTGCACTGACATGCACATATCTACCCACAAACACACATGCATATACATAATTAAAAAAATACAAATAAATCTTTAGAAAATTAGTTATTTTTTCTTTTAACTGTCATACTACAAGATATGGTTTTACACCCCACCAATTACAGTATTGGAATATTCTGAATTTGCTGTGCAGTTACTTTTCCCATTAAGCTTTTATTCATGAGCTTTTACCACTGAGTTTTGTACTTTCATAAGTTTTCATGTTACTAACTTGTATCCTTTTATTTCAGCTTGAAGAATGACTATTAATATTTCATATACTATATGGTGATGGATGCGCTCTACTTGTGTTTGCTTAGGAAAGTCTTTATCATGCCATTATCTATGAAAGGCTGCTTCACCCAGTAACATTCCTGGTTGGTAGGATTTTCTTCCTCTTCATTTTTCGTGTCATTCCACCTTCTCCTAGCCTGTCCAGCTTCTGCTAAAAAACCCACGGTTAGCCACAGTGGAACTCCCTTTTGTGTGATTTGATTTTTTTCTCCTGCTGCTGACAGAATCCTCTTTCATTTCTGATAGTTTTGTTTTATCTTGTAGTGTTACTTGGAGTGAATCTGACTCTAGATATGTGTACCTTTCCCCAGTTCCAAAAGATCACAATAACCGTCAGCTCATGATCCTACCCTTCCTTGGGTCCCACAATCTTTAACAGACCTACTCTCTTCTCTCTACCTTCCAAAGTCTTCTATTCTTCCCTGTTTATTACGTTTGTATATAAAGAGCTTTTAGTTATACTCAGTGAGAGGAATTCAGAAAAGGTCGCATGCTCCATCTCACAGAAGTACAGTGCCGCTTGACCTAATGAATTAATGTATTGTTTTATTAAATATTCAGAAAAAATCCCAAAGTGATATTAAGCTCATTTTGTAGATGAATACATTGAGATTCTGGTATTTTCTACCCAGTGAACAATGTAGAAAGGATAGAAGTCATAAGGCAAGCAGTCAGGAAGTGGGAATCAATTAGTCTGCTTCCTTTCCCTTTCCTGGAGGGTGGCTACATCATGGCTCCTTAGAGAAAGGCAGGTAAGTGGGTGGGGCTCATCACAGAACCCATCTGACCCTAGGCTATAGCTCTCTAGATTCTTCAACCCTACCACGTCCATTTCCATCTTAGGGCAACAATGCCCTTCTGGTGGGGAGAGGCCTAACCCCATTCCCCGTCTCCCTGGCTCCCTGTTATTCTGCGCTGTCACTTCTCAGTTGGATGCCTCGTACACTTTTTGAACCCTTTCTGGCTTTTTGGTCATAAGTCTTTGCCCACTTGCTGGCATTATTCATGAAGTTCGGCAAAAAAAGCCTTTAGTAAAGACTGAAGACAGACTTGTGCTAGCGGTTCCTTCTTCGGGCACCAAGAAGACCCACTTTTGGAATTTGTGCCCTGAATGAATAAACACAGGTTCCAGGTCCAGCTTTGCACAATCAATAATCAGCTTTACTTTCCGGCATGAGGAACATATTTGAAACCCCACCCCCACAGCTTTCCCTGAAGCCCAGTCTGCCTTGAGGAAGATGGACTGAAGGAGAAGTTGTAACCGGGATCTTGGGGAGGCATTTCCATAGAGGTGGGTTCTGAGTAGGGGAGCCTCAGAGGAAAAAGGTCCAGAGGAAAAGGGTACATAGACTGCACCTTCCTCTTGGTCCTGTAAACCTTTAGTCTTGTAAAAAGGCATGCAGTTAGTTCTGCCCAAATGGGGCCTTTCTATTCAAAGTGTGGTAGATAGGCCAGCAGCAGCAGCAGCATCCACAGGGAAGTTGATGAGAAACGCCGACAGGTAGGTCCCACACCAGAGCTACTAACCCAGAATCTGTACTTTAAGATTTCCCAGAGACCTAGGCAAACACTAAAATGTGAAAGCCCTTCTCTACTCTTAAGGCTAGTATTTTATGAACTATGTGGGACCATCAAGACTTATCCCAGCGGAGGAGTTTTCTAGTAGTTTTCCAAATTCTCATTTCCTGAGGGAGGGGAGCAAAATGCCACTTTGGACTTTATTGTTATGTTACGTGTTCCCAGGAATATGACTTTCTTTCCTAGAGCTCTAAGCTTCTTGTCTATGTAGTGAATAATTGGACCAGAAGATCCCTTTTTGGCCCTCCTTTCAGTGAAGATGCGTCTCCCTGAACGAGATGCAGCGTAGGTTTATGGAAAAGGCACGAAGTCTCGAGACAGGCTGGGCCTGGTTCATCCTGTTGCTCTACCACACAGTTCTTAGATGACTTTGTACAGCTGCACCTCTCTGATCATCAGTCCCCTGTCTCTAACAGTGGGATGATGAAACCATTCAATTAGCAGGTATGTGCGCATAGGACCCGGCATAGAAGTGCTCTGTGTACTGCAGGCTCAGTAAGAACTGGTGTTTATCCCAGCACTGGTATTCATGACTTCTGCAGAGATCTGCATAATTCTGTAAGCAGAACAAAGACATTGAAACTGGATCTCTGCTGCTTCTCCTTCGTATCTGTGAGGGTCTTCTTTTTCACAAAACATTCTGAGTGCTGTCATCATCTGTACCAGATGACTTAGCTCTGCACCTGTGCTTGCAGCCACTATACAAATTCCCTTTTCTGGGGCTGGAGAGATGGCTCAGTGGTTAAGAGCATTAGCTGTTCTTTAATTTAAAATTAAAAAAAGAGAAAACAAATTCCCTTTTCTTATTCAGACTGAACGTAAGGCCTAATTCTCACTGTAAATTATCTCCCTTTTTACATGCTAAGAAGCCAGAGGAGTTCAAGAAAGATTCTATGAGAAGAGAGGTGAGGTTTCCATAGGAAAGGAAGAAACAACGAATCAGTGGGTCTTGATTTTTCTTCATACATAGCCACAAAAGGCAAAGCAGTTAAGTCGATGGGAGAAGAAAAGACAGAAGTATGAGGGAGGGTCCTGGGCAGTGCTGATGCCCAACTGGACTGGTTTATATTGTTAAGAAACAAAACATGGGAGAAATAAAAAAGAAATGAGAGGACAGAGTAGAACGACTCTGAAAATCTTAACTTGTAGTTAGCTAGAAGGGAAAAAAATCTTGACACATTTTTATTCCACGCAGGGTTACAATATTAATTGGCTTAGCAGACTTACCATCAGCAGTTTCCTCTACAGCACACAGGTTAACGGAGTTGCCAGAGTGTCTCAGATATGAAATTGTTGCCTCATAATTATGTGGTTCTTCCAATTCAGCACTGAGAAGCATGGAGGAAAAGAGTTACTTCGTAAAAAAGACATTTCTTTAAACACATTTCTGTAAAATTCTTTGTACATTTTTCCTCATTAGAGAACTATCTGGTCAGTCTAATGATCTAAGCAGATGTAGGAGGGGGAGACCTTCCTGAAACACACAGGATTCTCGATGGAATCTAATTGTGCAAAGAACTGCATAAAGATCACAGAGTTCACACAGAAATCAATAATGCAAAATCCCAGGTGCCCAGGTAGATGTACTGAGGAGACCCACAATTAAAAATGCAATGACAGTTGTTGGGACCTGAGGCCAGATAAGTAGACAGGTGGGGGTGGGGAGTATTTAATGTCAGAACCACATGTGAATAGGAAGCCAGAAGTTTGCTGCCAACATAATGTCAAGAACCACAAAACGGTACCCTTTCTATGCCACAAGTTCTAGAAAATATCTGTGTACTCTTCCAAGAAAATGAGCAGGAAAGCTTGCTCTCTGTGGCCACCAGAGCTGGTAGAGCCAACCACAAAAAACCAGAAACTCAAAATCCCAGCACCAAGTACTGATGTAGATCTACATTCCTTCAATCTGTATATTACAGAAAAAAACTGGGACTCAAAAAACCAAATTGATCCTTTCAAGAAGGACCTTGAAAAAGTTACATCTGTGTTGAAAGTTCTCCAAACTGACAAGAATTTTGTGACTGTCACAAAGAATTGGGATGTCACAAGAATTGGGATGTTGCAACTCAAGAGCCAAAATTATCTTGGGTTTTCTTTAATCCTCTCACTAGCCACTTATCCACCTCTGTATCTCACCTAACATCCCTTTTGACTATCAGGTAAAACCTCTGGAATGTATTAACTTAGCAGACCACTAGCTTCCACCAACTTCAAACCTGAGACTGTGTGTTATCAGACGGTACCAGAAATCTACGGAAGAAACTTCCCTGCTCTGCTGTAGCCCTGATGTCCCCTTCAGGGCATTTGGTAAATGCATTGGTTTATGGCTTTCTTTTGTTCTGTGATTATAAAAAGTTCTGTAACTGATTTCTCCAGAAAGCATGCCATTGGGGGTAACCTATATCCATATTCTTGGCTGTGGTCGTTCATATTTGGCTCAGAATAAATTATCTCTCATTCACTTTGGAATGAGAGCTGTGTTTTGTTTTGAATTTCTTTTTTAACTGAATTTTTGCAATTTTCATACAATATAGTTTGATAGCATGTAGATTCCCCCATCCATACCTCCCCTCACTGCCCCCCATCCAATTGAATGTACCCTCATATAAATATAACATGACCTACAGAATCTAATTTGTGTTCCCAAATGTCCTTCAGGGAGGGTTCATCCACTGGCCCACCTGTAATATACTCTCTTTTCCCCTCCCAGCAGCCATTAATTGTCAAAAGTTCTGTAGGTTGTATTTTCTTACCCACTTCCCCATGTCTTCACTGGGATTTTGTCTGGTTTGAGCTTGCATAGGACTTGTGCAGGCTGTCACCATTGCTGTGAGTTCATATGAATAACTGACCAGCTGTCTGGAAGACTTTCCCTTGTGGTTACCACCTCCTCTGGCTCTTGTAATCTTTCCTCCTCCTCTTCTGAAAGGATCCCTGAGCCCTGGGAGGCAGAGGTTTGAAATCGGTGTCCTATTCAGGGATAAGCACTCTGCGGACTCTTGTTCTCTGCACAGTGGCCAACTGTAGGTTTCTGTGTTAATCACCATCTTCTGCATAAGGGACTATCTCTGGTGGGAATTGAAAGATGCATTCATACTATGTGTAGAGGTTGCCTTAAAGATATTTTGCTTAGGGTTAAGCATCTCACAGACAGTTATTCTCTGCCTTTGAGTAGCTCTTGAACTCTGTAATAGTCTCCATCTGTTGCAAAAAGAAGCTTCTTTGATAAGGGGTAAAAGGTACCCTTGTCTGTAAATATGAGGATGTGTATTTAAAATAAAGTAAGAAATTATGGTCTAGGGATGTGGCAAAAGTAGGTTTTTCTCTAGGATCTATGACTTCTCCAGGTGTGTATTTGGCTATGCTTACAGTCCCACATGTGAGTTTCATCCCACTGAGCGGGCCTTACTTCAAATTAGACAGCTGTTTATTACCCCCAAGGAAAAGACACTACTGCAACAATAGTTTGCTGGGCCATTCATTGTTGTTTATTAGGCTTCACAGCTGGGTAGGACCATTGATTGGATTTCTCCTTTGGCATCTAATATAGTATCCTCTGATGCCATGAGAGCTAGTCTTCAGGGAAGAGGTTTCCAGGTCAGTTCCAGCTCCAGTGTTCTGAGTCCTGGGCCTGAAGTATGACCTGCCTTCAGCAGTAGGCTCTTACCTTCAAGCTCTTGGAGGCAACCAAAGGCTGTGGCAATAGCCTGTTTTATTTTGGGAGTCTCTTGGGCTACACTGACCAATAACTTGAAGGGTGGTTTCTCCTGCCTGCCCCAGTCAGAATGGCTAAGATTAAGAGAATAAATGACACCAAATGCTGGTGTGGATGTGGAAAAGGGGAATGCTCATTCACTGCTGGTGGAATTGCAAACTGGTGCATTTTCCACTGTGGAAATCAATATGGATAACTCTTTAAAACTAAACATAAATCTACCATGCAATCTAATCATACTACTCCTTGACATATACCGAACAGACTGATTCTACTACAGAGACACTTGCACAGCCATGTTCATTGCTGCCCTTTTCACAATAACCAAGAATGGAAGCAACCTAAATGTCCCTCAACTGATGAATGAGTAATAAAAATGTGGTATATTTACAGAATGGGTTATTCAGGGGTGAGTGAGAGGAGAGATAAGTAATGCTTGCGGGTATGAAAAACCAGAACTAATACAGTTATGAGTTCAAATTCTTCTGAAAATATGAATACAATAAATATAGGTGTGCATGTGTATAGCTGAAAGTTATATGACAAAAACCAGAGAGCTGGCTGGCACTTGGGAGGCAGAGGCAAGCAGATCTCTGTGAGTTCAAGGCCAGCCTGGTCTACAAAATGAGTTCCAGATCAGCTGGGGCTACAGGGAGTCCCTGTCTCCAAAAGACCAAAAACACAAACAAAAACAAAAAACCAGAGAGCTGTGTTTTGCATTGATACTTGACAAGCAAATTTCACACAATACTTTAGAAATGTTTCTACACTCTACAACGTCTAGGTCTCTAGAGAAACCGATCCCTACTTAAAACAAGTTGACTGTCAAAACCTAAAAACCTCATGAGGATGGGAGCCATGGGGGAACTAAACAAAACAACATGAAAGTAAATTTAACGTAGTGTGTTTTAAGTATTCAAAGAAGTTAAGAAATGATAGAAAGAAATTAAGTGAGTAATAACAGGTAGAAGCAATAAGCTGTAAAATAGAAAAAAATCTATGTATTTAGGGACAAGAGAAAAGAGTAATAGGTATAATACTGTTTGTGTGTGTACATGTTTGCTCATGTATGTGGGTGCACTTATGTGTGTATGCATGTGAAGTAAGAAGTCAACTTTAGGAGTCATTCCTCAGGTGCCATTCACCCTTTTTTTTGAGCTAGGGTCTCACTCATTGTAGCCCCAGTGGACCCAGAACTCACTGTGTAGGTCAGGCTGGCCTTGATCTCACAAAGATCCTCCCACCCCTGCCTCCCGAGTGGTGGAGCTAAAAGTGCGTACCACCATACGGGCCCCATTTTGTTTATTGGGACAGTCTCTCCCTTTGTCTAGAACTTGCTGGTTAGGCTGGACTGGGTGGCCAGAGATTTGCCTGTCTGCTTCCCCAGTACCAACACTACAAGAGTTCCTCATCTTGCCCAACTTTTTTCTCATGGGTTCTGAGGGATTAAAACAGGGCCCCCTGCTTGCAAAACAAGCACTTCACTGACTGAGGCCTTTCCCCAGTCCATAAACACAATTCCTGAGAATTAGATGGTATCCTAGAAGCAGCCTCCATATGACTCAGTTAAGAAGAGTCAGTTAGCAGGGCATGATGGCACACACACCTTTAATTCCAGCACTTGGAAGGCAGAGGCAGGTGAATCTCTGTGAGTTCAAGGCCAGCCTGGTCTACATGGTGAGTTCCAGGCCAGCTGGGGCTACAAAAAGAGTCAGTTAAGCAAGAACAGACTCTATTCCTAGGGGAGAAAGAAGAGCATTGGAAATCTGAAAGGCAGAGAGAACAGCTGAAAAGATGGCTGACTGGCCAGAGAGAAGCACCGCAGGACAAGCTCCAGACGTGGGGCTTCCTGGTAGGGAAGGGGAAGCAGAAGCCCCATCCAAAAGGTAATTAGTCCCCTTGCGAAAGACTGAATATTCTACCCCACAGCCCTCGAAGACTCAAATGCAACTGTAGGCTTTGCTGAGACAGCGATTCAGTGACTCAGCAGTGGAGAGGAAGTCCATTGTCACTCTGTATGACCCAGGAGGGCAGTGGCTGGGCACCATCTTAAGAGGGATCCCATTATTTAAAGCTTGGGGTCTGAAAACAGGGAACAAACACAAGCCAGGACACCTGAATTTAACCTGGCAGAGCCCCAGGAAGAGAGGACCCTGGATAACAGTTTGGGAGAGGGAGAGGGTGGGTTCAGGAGGCTCAGGCAGGGACTTGCAATCCTACCCTCAGTGGCCTGTAGCCTATCTCATCAACTGAGAACACTGAAAATGGACACCTATGAGCCTGAGGCGAGGGGCTTGAGCAATCTCTGAAACCGCCTGTCGTTCACCGCCATGCATGACAGAGCCTGAGAACTCTGAATGCATCCTTCCAGCATTAGGACATCTTGAAGGTAACAAGACAGGGTCTCCACTTGTACAGATGTCAGTGCTGTGGATGCCTCCATGTCCCAAGGCACTTGTGAGACAGCATCAGCCTGAACATTAGCCACCCCAAAGGATACAATCAGCGGAGTCTTAGGAGGTTGAGAGTATCCACTCAGGTCACAGACTGCAAAGCCAAGTGTGGTCAGCAGAGGACCCAATAGAGAAAGAAAGGAAACCCCCTAAGTGA